GAAACCAGCGCTAGCCAATCAACGTCTCGTGCGCTCGGATGTGGATTGGCTAGTGCTGGTTTCCCTAGCCAAGTTCCGCCGCGCGGCAACGTTACCGCGTCCAGTGGGCAGGAGCCATAAGCAGATGCACAAGGAAATGGACCAATCAAATTCGTTATGCATATACTTATGCACTTGTGCAAAAGTGTGTGCTCCCCGCTTAACGAATTTGATTGGTCCATTTCCTTGTGCATTTGCTTGTAGACCAATCAAATTCGTTATGCATATACTTATGCACTTGTGCAAAAGTGTGTGCTCCCCGCTTTCGAATACAAGACAGCCATTTTGCTTAGGTCCTTAGGTAGCGTTTCCACTGAGCGCGCCACGAGACGCGTCATGCGCGATAATCATCCAATGAGCGTACAGCGTACAACCGAGAGTCGGTTACTTTTCCCAAAAAGCTGTTTACTCATTGGATTATCGGGCATGCCGCGGCGCGTGACGCGCTCACTGGAAACGCGCCCTATAAGTATGTACATTTTCTACAATTCGACCAATCATATTAAGAGTATGTTTTCTTTACACAAATCATTTATTTTGATTACAAATTCGTATGTTTGTTTAGAAGCACTGTCGGGGAGCTATCGGGTAGCGCGCGGGATGCAAGTCACACTTGCGCGTGAAAAATGGAAATACCAGGGAGCGCAGAGGCCGTAGAACACGCAGGCGCGTTTGCGTCGTAAACAGTTGCGAGCAGTAACTTCGTAACGCACGATGACTGCGGTGAATGCGCGTATAAACACACATGAAAATCGATAGTATTTACAGGCGTAGCGGCGTGCGCTCGAGAAATTTGCCAGCTAATCCGTCAGGTGATCGTCAGGATGACCGATGTGAACAGCGTGTTCGGCTTCGAGCTCTTTCAAAAGCTCTACCACGATGACATCGGTAAAAAAGAAGACGTCATAATATTGTTTGTGCACTGGTACTTGACAAAGGCCGGATTTAGATGCATTGGCATCGGAGATGAGGTGAGTTCCCCGGCAACAAGATAGACACGATGCGTCATTCCACGACCTAGCGATATCGAAATCGTCTTCATTTTTATTGCTCTTACGTTCCCTGCGCTCCGATGTTCGCTGTCGGCGCTCGTTACGTTACGTTCACCATAGAGTTTCAGCACCGGCAGTAATATCGGGACACACGTTAAAAGCGTCTTTCATAATATTCTTTGACGTAAGATTCTAACCTATACAAACTTACCCGATATTTTTATAATTGCACAGTTTGTTCTAGGTATCATTTTCTTAGATTTGAATGAAATATATTTAACTAATCGGAAATTCTTCAGTCGCCAGCAGAAATTAACATCAAATTTGGTTGACCATATCTGGCTATTTTGATGATTAAGTATCGCGACGTTTCGACCATTTGGTCCTTTTCTAGCAATCGTGACTAATACAAATTAAATTTTACGAATTAATTAAATAAAGTCATCACATCCGGGATAATAAGATGGCAATTACATAAATTGTGTGTTACCTGAGGTAGTCATGTACGAAATATATTTAATATGAAATGCATTTGAATGAGGGTGGTCTAGATTCAAATTCTGGCCGAGGTAATATTTTTCGCATTAAAAATTCTCTACGATGACGTGGGAGGAAATTGTGCAGCAAGCTAGTGAGCGTGAAAACGTTTAAGTCGTTTATGTGAATTTTATTGTTCCAACAAAGAAACTGAGTTTTAAAACCGAAAGTACTCGGCGCACAGACCGTGTTGGAAACTGGCGGTCAATTCTGCATCTTGCACTATAGAAAACGCTTAATGTTAGTGGCTTTGTCACTTCCTAACTGTCCCCTCAGAAAAATAGAACCGCGCACTTTTAACATTTTTACTATATTTTAAGATACAGAATTGACACCATGGTATATAAAAGTTCACGCAGTAACATCCTACTCAGACCGTATTTCTTATTTCATATTGAAATACATTTCTTCATCTAATTCCAAGTTGAATATGTTCAATTAGATTAGGCGTAGAGGAAAGTCCCCTATTACGAGACAGGATTCTAATATGGGATAGCGGGACGTCAGTTGATTCCACCATGAATTTATTGTCCTTGGAGTGAAATCTGTATAGTGGAAAATTCATTGTTAGATTGCGTAATCGTTGCGAAAAGAGATTTGTGATTCAATTTGGGCGTTGAAAACCTGCTATCTCATAATAGAGGACTTTCCTCTATTAATTATAAGTGATATATCAAGCGCATTCATTGTGCGTTTTAAAAGAATCTCAGACGTGCGTAATGTTTCATACGTAATTACTTAAAAAATGACATTTAACTTTACAATTACCTTAGACAGTGTTTGATGCATCGGAGAAAGGATCCGAATTACTCCCAGCGGAATGGAATTCACGTCCCAATTATGCGCTGCGTTACGTGCAAGATGGAAAATTACACGTGCTTCTCGGAGTCAAATCAGACGCAGATCTGCTATTGAACTTGATGGTAACTTATACGATGGCAGCAGCTTTTCAAAGTTATCTAACTATTCAAGTGACAGTGATTGCCTAAAATGTTGCCATTCAACATGTCATTCTTACAGAGACACCACGACAATTCTGTATTTAATATTCCGTTCCCCATCGAGGAAACTGTATCTGCGTTACACGGGCCTTTAGAGACTATAATGCCATCCTATCAAACAATGTTGCATAACATACAAAAAGATTTTGTAAGCCCGACGTGCTCTAATGACGCAGCGACTCAAACAACTGTATCAAATAACGGAAGTACCTCGGAGACTACTGCGGTTCCAGCACACGATGGTCACCCTTCACTGAGGGTAGAACCTCGTCGTCCGCCAGCGAATCGGTAATTCAACATTAATCGATTTGATTAACGTGTCCATATAACGTTTTATGTTAAGTCTTTAAGTTACAAATCTCAAGTGAAAAGAATTGAAAATGCAACACATTTCGCAACATCTATTTCTACACAAAATTTTATTATATTAACTTGTTATTATATACTACCTTATTAACGATAAAGAGGGATTTAGGCTGTGAGAGTTAAACGCGGTTATTAGGCTCTCACGGCCTAAATCCTTTTTTGTTTTTAATTTCGAGAGTCCAGTCACTCGTTTAAGTTTCACTTATTAACAATGTCTTTGCATTAGATGCCAATAGAATTTACAAATTTTTTCCAATCATTATTAAGATTTCCTGTTCTGAAATCGTTCCATTTCAATGCAGTGATCCCAGATCGTGGGATTTCTGCAGGGCCGGCTCTAGGCGCGTGCAACCGGTGCGCCGCACGCGGCCCCGCGGTTTGATCGGCTCCGTGGTTTGATCGGTCCCGCTTTCTTGTGCTAACCAAGTGACCGAATTCGCTACAAGATTACATTAATTACATACGTCTTTATGCAATTAATATACATATATGAAACAGAATTCAATGAGATATAAATTTTAATTCCCACATATTTGTTTGCACCCGGCCCCGCTTAGCTTAGATGAACCGGATTTCTGGCCCACGCGCATTAGTGGAAGAGTTCCGCTTGTGAGGTGGAGTAAATTTTGAAGATAAAATTTTTTATCCTGCGGGGTTGCATTATCCGTTTGCATCATCCCGCGCGAGGCCCGATAGTTGGGCCCCTGCATTGTATAACTTTACCAATTAATTGGAACGATACAGAGAAAACTTGTATACTTCTACAACGTCTATTGGTTCGTCGTGGCCGTGTCGGCTACCGTTTATTGGGTGCCGGGCGCCATAATTACAAGAAGAAGAAGAAGAAGCGCAGTAGCGCAAGCTGGAGCAGCCGCTCAGTAGCGTATACGTTCTCAACTTGAGGGTATAGATAGAACCCTTACAAGAAGAGTATAGGAAATATTGTACAAAAAGGTTTTCATCAATTAAATAAATGTTTAATAAACTGCTCTATATGATATATATATATATATATCATTAATATAAGTTTTAATAAAAAATCGATGTAAAAGTGAATAATAAATAACACTGGTCCCTATAGAAACCCCTCACGTTGCCTGTATGTACGAGTCTTTCATGGTAGTCACGTGATCACTATGTGCATGGCAGAAAGGCTTGCGCTACTGCGTATGCGCCAGAAATCCCACGATCTGGGATCACTGTTTCAATGTGATCGAGTAGGTGTGATTTAAAATTATTCATTTCTAGCCTTAGACCTGAATATGATCCTGCGAGAGTAGGACATAGAGATCTCCATCCACTCGGAGAAGGCGGTGGTATGATATTCCATCCATTTGAATCGAGACGTCGTCAAACTGGACGTTTACCGGGTGGCTTAGGAATGCCTGGAGTATTGCCGCCGTACGTTTCTATTAGTATGCCAGTCTACACGCGAAAGGGACTGTTTTCTAATTTAATCAAACGTTATATTGTAGAGGTGCGATACCACCAGGTGCAAGATTTGATCCTTTCGGTCCACCAGAGTTGGATCCATTCAGACAACCACGTCACAGACAACCCGATAACGATCACTTACCGCCTCCAGGATATGACGATATGTTTCAGTAATATGTTAAAAAAAATTACACTCGATAATAATGAAGGTAAAAAGTACAAGTATAGACAGTTGCTGTATATATTAAATGTCTGTATGATGCTATACTCCTTCGATACTTCTACAATATATTTTAACATATAAAGAATGGTTTGTAAGAATCATGTGTGAAAGATACATCATATTTCCCTGGGAAGGGGAATAAAGTTGGCAAGTTTATACAATACGCATCAGGGTATAAAAATGATTATAAACTGCCCCCTTTTTTTCACAAAACAACTTCCATTCCTTTTTATTTCGTTACTGATGTTCACAATGTAACAAAACGGTTTCCTGTTTAATTAAGAGGAATTGTGTAATGATAGATAGGAAATTATATTGAGAAATTAAACGATAATTTTCGCTTAAATTGCGCTAACTCGTTACTTTTATTTCTTGTTTAATCAATTTGTAGAGAGTGATTGTTCTTATTTTATTATGTCGGTTCAAAATAGAGGATTTTCTTTGCTATCTAAATTGTTCTTCCTTGAAATATTCACATTAGACGTATGATTAAACGCAAGAGATCTCTCAATACATAAAATTATCTAGATCCATATCAAATAGCTATTAAAAAAAGATAATTTTAACTAAAATTGCATTTGTCTTTCAAATAATATTAATTTTTGCAGCAGTTCGATTCAATTCTTCGAGAAATTAAACGTTCCATACTTTGTGGAATGCGTACTATCGCTTATAAATAAGCGTTATTGCACAGCAGAACAATTTTTACAATATTATATTGTACTTTAACATTTAATTTCAAATAAGACAGTATAAAACGTGCATAATTTTCTACTACAACTGTTATAGCATCACAGCTTGTACAACCTTGCATAATCCTTCTGCTTCTCGGTCTACACTTTTTTATGCACATTGAGAAAATTATATCACAGATATAGAAAGAAATATTTATAATTATTTAGCGATTTAATTATATATCTTGAAGAAATGAATCGTTGCGCAAGTGTAATAATTAAAGAAATAATGAAAATTATACTGGTAACTTTTAAGATAATATCTATTTCGTCATGAATATCTGTATGATTTCTTTCGAAAAGGATTATACTTAAAAACAAAAATATGTTAAATTGCTTTAATTATCGTAATTGTACTAGAATTAAACGAGTAAAAGTAATGGTACTTTTGCATCTAAGGTTGGATCATTTGCTTTTATATATATATATATATAGCCTATATATATATATCCGAATATCCCTCGTCCCATCCTCTGGTAAAAAATATTGCAGTTTTTAATATTACAAAAAAGGAGATGTACCAGATTGTAATTTCGATTCGAGTCTGCGATTGTAGTGAATGTACCCCATTGTCATTCGTTAAAAAATACGTATGATTAATTAAAGTTGTCTCTTGTTATCTGTCTAGTAGCTGAAGTAGGTAATCGATTACATTTAGTCGTCGCTTGTTATAATAGATAAATTGCCAATACACGATTAACAAACGTGTAATGATACGTAAGCATTACTATCACGTTCTGGAACACGACAGTGCGGGTGTCTCGCAGCAATTAAAATTGGTTGAACATAGCAATACATAGCAACCAGACTTGATTGCCGCGTAACCATTGTGCAATAGTTTCATTTCCGGAACGCACCCATTGTTGAGCAGAACAATCAAGAAGCAAAGACAACGCACGAATACAAAGTAATGTACATTCACATGAAATCAGCAGACACGCGTGAAATGTTCTAAGTATTATATTTGTTATTATTTTACGAGTGAATTTTTCTATCCTTTGAACACAGTTTAGTGTGGCGTACACAGCATCATTAACAATTTTACCAAGTCAGAAGACGATGATGACTTTACATAATATGCTTGTATCAGATTGAAAAATCTACTTTGACTAAAAGTTAGATATGCAAAAATTTTGGTAAAATTGTCATTGAGCTATGCTAATACGTGATATACAGCTCTGGAGTGATTTGCTTCACATTAGTTTCTCATTATCCATCATTCAAGTTAACGCAGATTCCAAGTCCAATAAGAGTTAAAAACATCCATCAGCGGTTCGGCATGCCATTGGAAATGCAACGCAATGTGTTTCTCTTTTGTTCGTCAAATTCAAAAAATTGTGATTTTAATTTGAAATACTTTATAGTTCTTATGCTGCGATTCACGTTTTATCTAATGTTTTTGCCAAATATTAGAATGTGTAACCCAAACATAAATTATTGCTGCCTAATATTTTATTAAAAAATATTTGTTAAAAAATTAATTTTAGCTATAATTAACAGAACAACTCTATATATACACAGTATATATAACGACAAAAAGGAACAGAACCAGTACTTTAGCTTTAGCATATTGTAATATTATGTTTTGCAAGTGTGATGTGTTTAACACATGCATACGTACTCCTTTAGCGTAAAATTAATCTTTTGTTAATTTAGTGTAGAAACAATTATGATGTTGAATATCGCGGAATTTCAATATATATTTTGTAGAGTTGTAACCGATACATTTGATCGAAAACAGCTTTCTGAAAAGTCGTTCTTTGAAAAGAATACATATACACGTACTTTCATTTTATTTCGAGAATGCAGATTGCAAAAAATGTATATAAAACTCCTTAAGATCATATTGTATTTAATGTTCAAACCAGATTGTTTTAATAGATTTTTTTGAAAAATATAATTGTATATGAATATAAATTCTCCTATTCAGACTCAATTCATACAAATTTTTTATAAAAAACAAATTTACTTTTTTATAAAAATCTTGTTCCATCTTGAAACATAATTTGTAATCGTTCAACATACAGATTTCAATTTTCCAGACTATTATTTGCAAATTGTAAATATTCTCTTCTCCTCTGTGTGTGTGTGTGCGTGCGCGCGCAATATAATATACTATTTCGATAAAATAACAAATCGAAAATGTACTGGGATGTGTTACATTCATTACAATTATAATTTCTCTACATTTTTCATTTTTGTAATTAAACAAATAATATATTTCTTTCGTTCATTACAACTGTTTAAAAGAAATTTTAGTTTCTCGTATCGAAAAAAAAGTATGCAACATAATGTACAAGTTTGTACATGTACGAATAACACAAAACTCATGTCACAAATTACAAATCAGCAAGGCTAAATGGCAATAATATAGCCAATCGTTTTTTAAAGAACTATTACCATTTTAAAACGTAACATTTTTGTTCTTTCATGGACAATATTAATCAAGTATAATACAATTTATTTTCATAAAAGGAAATAGCAACGATTTGGATGCAAATTCCCGCGTTAACAATTTCTCTCGGAATATAAAAATAAAAATAAAATCAGGTAATGCAAAATATGATTCAAAATTGGTTAATACTTATTACTGTTGCATTTCCAGTGATAGACCATTCAGAACAGATTTGCTACAGTATACCACTTGTTGTCAGGCGCAAAATTCTACACATTTATACCAATCAGTATGAATTAGTGACTTTTTTCGAACTTCTCTTCTCCTTTTCTAAAGTTGTTCAATCTATTGGATGCAGCAGGAGTTTTTTTGTCCATTCTTGAGCTTCAATCGAGACTTAGGACGATACTTTTCAAGAAAAGTTAACTGCTTTGCGTTTATAGCGCCTCGTCTTTTTCTAGAACAAAGAAAGAAAATGATAATGGAATCCATTTTCCATTAGCCATGTCGCAGTGACGAAATTCCACCTGTTTGAACGGTACAAAGATTACACAGTTCAAGATGTCTTACTCTCTGATAAGGGCAACAGCATCTTCGAACTTGAGTCCAAGTTCAATGAGAGCTAAAGCAACCAAAACTGGTGCTCTACCAAGACCCGCGACACAATGCACCGCCACACACGCATCAGGTGATTCTCGGAATCGGTTTTTCAGCAACTCGAACCATTCATCAACCACCTAGACATAAAAAGTAACGAAAGATACATTACATTTATTCACTCGAGTTTTCCCACTTTTATCAATCAGTAAGTATCTAAAGATGAAACTTTTACCTCGTTCGGTGGAAATGTACCATCATCGAATACCAAATCTATCACATTGATCCCTTCTGATTTGAGTTCCTCTACTTTGTACGTTGGTTCGCAGACTCTCACCACTTCCTTTACATTGTGCTTTTTCAGTTCCTATTAAAGAAATATAATGATGCAATTTAGACAGGGATGAAGATACAGATTCTTGGACAATATCTTGGACATCGTTTCGCTCGTATACTAACTTGAATAAAGGTATGGATGGTTTGATCATTGGGCCGATCAGTAATGAGGAACTTCATGTTTTTGTATTCAATCTCGGCGGGCGCCGGTCTGATATCCTTCACCCTCATGTTGCTCATTTCCTTCTTAACCACAGAGATGATTGTATATCTATCCCCTCTTATTGTTTTTAACTCTTAAAGATCTTGTACAACTTGTCTCTTAGAATCTCGTACGCGTGCCACACTATACGAAGCGACAAAGGCTGGATTTGACAACTTAGCCCATTAAATGTCAGTCTTATAAAGTTGTTTTTCATTTAACTAATAGAATATTTTATTTTTTTACAGAGGACAGAACCATGGGTTTACATGTAAATTTTAGGAAGGGTCGTCGGGGTGCAAACTTGGCCGAAAAAGGGCTACGTTACATTAGGCGGTGTTGATATGCGCTTTATTCTTCCCACTTGAGACTTTTTGACTATAATTCACGGAAGATTACCTGAAATAACCGATACAAATGTAGTTAACAAATCAATTTACATCTGTACTTGTTTCTCCGGAGCGCTTTTCGAAAGCTCTCCCCTTGGAGATTTCTGCACCTACCTATTTGGCACTGGGTGCTCCCTGTGACAGGCGCGCTCAGTATCTATGACGCTCGCATCTACTACGGTAAATTAATAATTTCTATTAAATTCTTCTATGTCTTGCGTGATGACTAGTTGATGATTTTTCTGGCTTCCCCGGTGATAATTGTCTACTACTTTAATAACCTTCTTCCTCCCTCCAAGGTGTTTCTAATCTTCCTCCCTTTACTTTAACAATATCTAATAATTGTCAGGGAGTATGGGCGTGTCTCTCTATTTGTGTTGAGCCTGGCAGTATTCTGCGCTATCCAACTGAAACTCCATGTATGTGAGGATGCACTCACCAGGAAACTGCAACATCAAAAGCATCCAAAGGGTGAATACAACCGACATACTTTTCGGTTACGCAATGAAATAATTTTCGTCGCGCGTTTTATTTTCATCATGCTTGCACGCAACAATAGCGAACTTTCGCGCGGTGCGACGGTCACGCGCCAGCGGGAAAGTTGCGCCCGATGCCAATTCTCGGGTGTGTTGGAAGCACCATTTTGTCCTCGCGTTCATCTTTTTTTCGCTCTATCTCGACAGTTGTGCGAACAAGATATTCGTCAGGATGGCACGATATTATTTCTTAATGAATTCAAGCAATTTCACCCGAGATTGAAATTAACAAATGACGAACAATTGATGAAATATCACTCGTCGAACGTATACTCCGGTGGAAATTGTTCTCAGAACTTTTATACGAATTGAGATTACTTTCAGAAATATTAAGAGTCTACTTCTTTTCTTACAATTTTTTTATATATGTAAACATTCTGAAATATCGTATTTCTAAGATCTCCCATTCTGTAACTTCTGAAAAAAATATCTTGAACTTTTTTGAATCTCGTAAGATTATGTCTGAAATTGTAGAATGGGAAATCTTAGAAATCTCAGTATATTCTAGAGAAGATACAAATTTTCTCGACACTTCTGAGAAGTGTAACGGGTTGCATAAAAAAAATCTGAAAGATTCTCAGAAAAGTTTTCGCCGGGGCAAGTCAAGGGTACAAGTTGCGGAAGGAACGTCTCGAGATCATTTTTAAATTAGCAAGAGGATGCTAATGTTGTACGGCAGCATCTTGGGTCGCAGTTTCTATAATAGTTGTTCTCTAGCGCCAAGCTCGCGTGTCGCGTTCGCCAGCGCGCGTAGTTGACCTCTCGATCTTTCGCCGAGACCGATTTGCGAAAGCCCGCTTTTGCGTAACGTCGATATGCGACGTATATGAGCGCCGCTGATTGACGAGAAAAAGCATGACCGACCGACAACCAGGCGCGTGCACCAGAATAACCGAAATTGGCAGGTGAGGAGAAGTTCGAGCGAGTAGGCGCGGGCTATACGCTTCGTAAAACGCCGCCAAGGCCAAATCCATCACGATGGCGTCGCGTCGCGCCGCGCCACGCGTCGACCGCCTTGTCTGTATTCTATTTCTTTAACGTGATGCCACATTGACTCTATCTATCCGTTTTTGTAGGTGTGAGCGGATGGCTCTACTCGGAAATTTCCGACTTCGATTTCGATATCGAGTGAGCAGCTGAGAGTCGGCTCGTGTAATACCGGTACCTCTACCGGTGGAGGGAAATCCTCTATTATGAGACAGCAGGTTTTCAACGTCCAAATTCAATCACTAGTCTTTTTTTTTCGCAACGACTACACGATCCAACAATGAATTTTCCACTAAACAGATTTCACTCCAAGGGCAATAAATTCGCGATGGAACCAACAGAGACGATGCCTATTAATTTAGCAGAAACTTCGCTATCCCATAATAGGGGACTTCCCTCTGCAGCATTTGATAGCGAAACTAACCGAGCTGAAACCACATCCGATGGCTCGATTAGTAAAAAATTGACGGCACACAAAGATGACGAGGACACTGCAAAGGAACCATTAGCTGTACAACGAAATTCCAAAGCGTAAAATTGCTTGAATCGGCCTACAAACCTATTTAAGCTATGACGCGCGTAAGCTAGAGCGTACGTTAGAGTGTGTGGAAATTCAATTTGCACTTTGTGCAGATGATATACCTCAGCTCTGCACAGCACTAACAATCTTCCGAGAATTCCTCTGAACGTCACGTTTCTCTATAAATCCCCTTTGAGTTCTTTAGGGGGGAAAAATGTAACTAATATATGTAGGTACAACACGTAGAGGAAAGTCCTCTAATACGAGATAAGATTCTAATATCAGATAGCAGGTGTCGAGCTGTAAACAAACCGCTGACCTAAATCTTGTACACCAATGCCCACTAATGTCCAGTGGGCATTACTTTATCCTATTATCTTATCTTGTTCGAGAGGGACACCACTAACCAAATTTTGTACACCAATGAGTGGACATTACTTTATCTTGTTTTATCTTATTTTATCTTTAATGCCCCAGCAACACCTAATGCCCAAAAAATGCCTAGTAATGCCCAGTAATGCCGCAAATCTGTACACCACAATGCCCTCAGCAGGTTTTCAACGCCCTTTCGCAACGATCACACGATCTAACAATCAATTTCCCCACTAAACAGATTTCACTCCAAGGGCAATAAATTCATGGTGGAATCAACCGATGACGCCTATTAATTTAGCTGAAACTCCGCTATCTCCTAGTAGAAGCCTATCCCATTACAGGGGACTTTCCTCTGTATATTCGTTTACACAAATCAGTTAGTAGTAGTACTTTAGCTGATTTTGCACAGTTCTTTATACAAGAACAAGCGAGGGACAAAGAAACTGCGGCAATATGATAAAAAAAATAACGTAAAAATCGGCTGACTTTAGTGACGAATATGTTTTGCATATGCGATTGAAGAACATTTAAAGATACAACCAGATACCGTCGACGGAATTTAGTAGAGTCGGATTTACGCGAAAGATGGTCGCGTGCTTTTGTAAACAGTAACGCAATTGTCATCGCGTTGCATGAACATGCGATGTCGCCGCGATGGCGATGTACGCGCTAAGAAAACAAACCGACCGGTTCCGTCTCGTACACAACGTGTCCAATTAATATAATCGATAGAGAAAGAGAGTCAGATATCTTGGGAACTCAACTCAAGCTGATAGTTTTCTTTACGAGGTTTTATAATTCGATTAAAGTCACCCTTGTCTCGCGATCCAAGTTGAATCTCGTTAGAACTTTCCGTGTGCCTGCGCCTAATTCGCCGCGGTGTTACACAAGAATCCCCCAAGATTTTACGCTCTCAGAATCACCGCAGCGCAATAGATTCGGTCTTGCACAGAGAAGTGGGCGCGATCGGGACATCGGAACCAATTCGTGCTTGCATTCACCACCGGAATCGTCATAGAGACTGTCGCAAGATCGACGACGCATTTGGTTCTCGTGATAGTAAACAAAATTCTATTTGCGTGTAGTTACGTCGCGAACGCTGCTCGGACAGATCGCAAACCGTGGGGCGACGTGCGAAGGAAATGGTGACAAAAATCTGCTCGCTCTATCGGTAGAACGGTATAATAGAAGCAATCCGCGGGAGAAAATAAACACGCCGAGTATTTATACGTTGAATATTTTTATCCTTAAATATTATCCGCTTGAACATCAAACAAGCGCGACATTCGCAGATGAGCTATTCAACACACAGGTATAGACGCAAGTATGTGTTGAAGCGTAGTTATAGGTACAATGCATATACGTATGCATGTACGGTATATACCCCAGTACGGGGGGGGGGGCGAGGGGGCGAGGGGGGGCGAGGCGAGGCGGGGCGGGGCGAGGCGAGGCGAAGCGAGACGAGAGAAATCGTGGGTCAGGAGTCAGGATTGAGAGACACAAGAATTTATCGGTGTCTCTCGAAGTATTAAACGTTTCCATGCGAAGGAAAATTTCGGCGTGTCTTCCCTGATCTCTGGCTAGACGCAAGAACAATTTCGCGACATTGTAAATTCCACGAATAATTAAAATGTAGCCGACGCTGGTAAAATGGCAAAGGGGACGATATGTGCGCGAGATACGCGTCAATAGCGAATATAAATTGAAGTCCCGAAAGAATAGTACTCTGCAACGCCGCGCAACACGTCGCATAATTGTCGCGGACGAATGAATTTATTGCTCGCTCGTAATTTTCCTTCGTCGCGAGAAAAACGAAAAGCCTTTTCGACGGGAGTCGAATACTAGATCGAGATCGCGTCTCCGTCGATCGCTGTAGAAAGGTAAAAGCGTCGGACGAACGAACGAGCTCACCGAGAGTGTCGGCGCGCAAAGAGAATTTTCGAAACTACACTTACGCCGCGGCAAAATCGAATTATTATTATATTATTGACACATTTATACACACACCCGTTATAACGACCACTATGTTGCGCTAACTTATAACTTATTTTATTAAACAACATATGAGAACACGCCAATGTGGGTCACAAGGCAGAATGTAGGTAGCCCAACTTGTAATTTTTTTGAAAATCGTGAATCTATTTTATGTTTTGGACTAACGAGCAAACCTACCCAAGTGGGGACACACCGATTTTGATGAGTGTTGAATGTGTTGTTTTTTCAGCTCAAAATAAGGGACACGTATTTTTTTATACGTGCCCATACGCACTTTTAGGTGGTGAAATACCCCTTTGAGAAAAATTGATTTTCTCTTTTGGGGCGAATATTGACGAAAGTGTAAGAGCTAGATAAAATTTTTTAAATGAAAGTTGAATGGTTTCAACAGTACTTTAAAACTACGAGCAAACCAATTTTTTTTATTTTTCAAAACACCCCCGCCACTCAACATTTTTATTACAATTTTGACAAATTTTTAGCACTAAATTAAAACTTATTTTGTTACGAATTCAACCGTATATAATAAAGGTCAAAGTTGCGTTAAAAAAATTGAGTGGTGAGGGTATTTTGAAAAAAAAATTTTTTTAAGTGCTTTGCAATAGTTTTAAAGTACTATTGAAACCATTCAACTTTCATTAAAAAGAATTTTGTCTAGTTCTTACACTTTCAATATTCGCCCCGAAAGAGAAAATCAAATTTTCTTCAAAAAAGTATTTTACCACCTAAAAAAGTGCGTATGGGCACATTAAAAAAAATATGCGTCTCTTATTTTGAACTAAAAACAACATATTCAACACTCATCAAAATCGGCGTGTCCCTACTTGGGTAGATTTCCTTGCAAGTAGGTTTAATTATTAATTCATTGCTGAAGAGGGTTTCGCTTTCGCAGACCGAAATATACAAGTGTATTGCAATGTTATGTGATCTTTAACATTGAAAATTGGTTGATACCAATATTATACATAATGTGTCACCACTTTCAGGGTGTTGGCCCGCATTGCCTATATGTTTTCTTTTTAACATCTCAACGACCAACATTGTTTTCCGTAATTTAAGTTATATTAATTAATAGACGTAATGTAAGGGCAATCAGAGCCAGGCGCTAGATATTGAGTGCGGATATAACAATCTTTTGTATATTATTTATTTGAAATAACTATGTCAAACGTTTCGACCAACTCATGTGGTCTTTCTCAATGATAATCAAAAACCCTAACGAAACGTTCGCTTATATACCAAATATTAAAATACATATGGACATTCACCTTCCATTGCTCGTATAATTATTGGCCTGTTGTTTTTCATTTGTCTTTACACGCAACGAGCTTATCTCATTATATTAACAAAAAAAAACCTATCATCGGCAAATTATCATGTGTTATAACAGCCACGGCCAGAATATATAATTAGTGTCATCGTGTAGGAATGTTGTATTATTTGGGCGGAGGTTCTCGTGCATCCTCTACGGATGATCGACAAGCACATCGATGTGCACCGGTGCATCTTTCGCCGACAAACAGCTGCGCCGCGCGATGCTGCTTTATTGTCGTGCCAATTTCCACCCGAGTAAAGCAGCGTTTATCGTATAACTGCACTTATTTCGAAAGCATGTGAAAACACGGCGATTCCATCACCAGCCTTCGGTCTATTAACGTATCGTCGCTTTCGACAGCCGCGTTACGTCGCGTTTATCGCGCGATACCCGCGAACTTTCGATAGCAACCCCGTTGTTCCTTCGAAAGACGCGCGAATTTCGGCGCGTAAAATACAATTTTCCTTGACCGCTCGACTAGCAAAATCCTTTCACTAGCGAGCACGCGGTGTCTTCTTGCACGCGCGAAAGGATTTTCGTAATTTAAAACCGCGCAGCGAAAAGTTAGAAGAAAGGAAATGACGAGAGCTGAAGTTTCACGTGTAAACGACGACGAAGCGTGTGCTTAATGGTATTTATCCTAGGATTATTCAGACTGTTTCATTTATACGGAAACCAGTCCAAACGCGAATTCGCCAAGCGATTCGTCAGACTCTACCTTATGGTCATCTGATAACAGTCCCGAGATAACAGATGCGAGTCCCGAGGTCACGGAAGCGTTCGAGATAATTAAGACGCAGGCGTAAAACAATTGCGTGTATCGCCACGCGAAACGGTTGTTAGCAACGTGAACAGATCACCGCACCATCACCAAGAAGTCACATCTTAATGTCGCGCACTTTCGCAAAACCACCGGGAATTTACAAGTCAGCCCGCGAAATCGTACTTTTCCGCGTCGTCCACATCGTCCAAGTGCGCGGGTCTGTTTTTCAGTTCCCCGACGAGAGTTCCAGATTCCGTGAACCTCTGTTCCACGCTGGCGCGTTAATAGTCCTGGACGCGGATTCGCGATCGAGAAGCTTGCATCTTTCCTAGCTTATGGAGAACACTCGCGGGTCGTTGCGGTATGTTACCGATTTCGCGAGCGAGCCGTGAGGGCGTGAGGCCCAGCGAGCGCGCGGCTGATTACTGATATCGTACGCTCGCCGTGGCAGTCGCGTCGAATCTGGGCCAGCCGCAGCGTGGCGATCAAAATAGCACGGCGTCACGGCGAGACAGCTTCCACCCTTCTCTTCATCGAGCGAGCAGTGGCGACTGGCGAGCACTCGTCATCCGACCCCTCCACGTACGCACGTACGCACGCACGCACGCACGCAGAGCGTATCTATGTGCCATATGCATTCCACACGTAATGTCCCTCCACTCCGTTGTCCGCTTCTCGCGTAACAGTAACGTTTTGCCTTTTACGGCGCATGGACGAATCGAGACCACGCGAAAACATCGCGTTTACGATCTTTTGTACACTGAAAAAAAGTCTGATAGATTCAACCGGTCGTCTGTTAGAAAATGGACGAATCAGAATTCCCTTAGGATTTGCCATGAAAGATATTTCGTAGCCAGAAGTTTGCTAGACCTCATTACACATCTGGCAAATCCTAAAGGGATTCTGATTCGTTCATTTTCTAACGACTGGTTAAATCTATCAGATTTCTTTTTTCAGTGTACACTTTTGCATCGGCGATAATGGGTTTGTTTTCTGTTCCTGCACTGGTGAACTAGTGCAGTAAGCTAGAATGAGAAAAAATATGCTTGTCTTACTCCAATTTATTGCACTAGTTCACTAGTGTAGGAACAGAAAACAAGGCTAATATTTCGTCCGTTTCGAGAACGATCGCAACCATTGAAATTGAACACCGCCACGCTCGATCGGATTTCCTCCAAGGCGCCTCGCGGCTGGCGCCGCCTCTGATCGACCGACTTCGATACCGATCGACGATCGTGTGCCAAGTGGCACGTAAGCATATCGGATTTTCGAGCCGATAATCTCTACGCGGAGAGAACCGGGTAAATCGCTAATCGCTCGATCGACGGACGCGATTTCCCGTAGTCGCCGCGCGTTCAGTAACGATCGGTGGATCAAAATCGCGCGATTATGCGAGCGTCGCGGGGAGGCGGGACCGGGTATCGACGGTTGCGCGTTGTTGCATGGGATTGCATGGGATTGCATAAGATTGCGTTGGATTCTTTTGCCACGCCGCCACGCGCAAGCTCGATAACTCGGTACCGATCCGCGCACGAATTTCACCAACGGCCTCCATTTTTATTATCACTTACGCCACGCGCGTCGCACGCGCGATCCGTCTCTTCCCGCTTCCCACTTCCCGCTCGAGACTATGGAAACGCCGCGCCGCGCCGCGCCAGCCGATTGGTAGGCGCCCGCGACTTTCACGGTCATTCTCGCTACGCGATCAAGAGAAAACAAGATCGCACGTATGACGTCAAGACTCGCCGAGCCGGATAAATTACTAGGTCGTCTCAGTAGCGTACGTATTTATACGCACTGTCGCCGGACACGCGCAACTTATCAACTCGGTCTTGCAACCCTATGCGATCCGTTTCGGAGAACTCGGGGATCGATGGCAGTACGAAGAAGCGACCAGCGGAATTCGACGAGTTCCCCCGAGGGGTAACACGCGTTAACACTGTCAACATCGTGGCCGATCTATACACGGCGAGATAACGTCCTGGTACCGCGCGAGACCCACGCGTCCTTCGGGCACGAAACGTTTTCCGAGAAGCCGCGACGAAAATTATTCACCGCTTTACGGATAATCTCCCACGATTGCCCTTCGATCTTCGTTTATCGATAGACAGAGCAGCGATGTTGCTTTCTCATGGGGTAGAACGAGAGAGAGAAAAAAAAGAAGACATTTGGCGACGACGGCAGTGACGTCACCAGGAATCAATACGGCGGGCACGGCCAGGAGGAGGCGTTATGACGTCGGCCTGTGATGTCACTGTCGTCACTCGCACGTAACAGACGCACGTTATACGTGCACGAATCCAACCAGCGGGGAACTGTCGCGGTCGCGGTCGCGGTCGTTACGTCCCCCAGCTGAAAATGGGACTGAGGCAGCCACGCGCGTCAGTCCTGCTCCCCTTATTAGAGATACGACGATATTAAAGTGGAACGACGGACATCTGTCTAGGTCGCGAGGACTGTACTGCACACGTCCATGCCACGTCGAACACCTCTGTTGGCCTCCGCACCTGCGACTTTTGCCGTTTCTTCATTCCCGACGTACGCCGCAGCACCACCAACTTTTCCAGACGACAATGAGGCAGCGGGGTTGAATGAGCCGTAGGGCAACGAACCGCGCACCCGTATTAAGCCCGTATCAGACTACAGACTCCCGACTCTGACTCGGACTCCCGACTATGATTCAATCAATCACAGCGAAGCACCGGCCGACCCTGAGGACTCGGGAATAGACGCCACTCTAAGGCCCGGTCTACAATGAGTTGTTAGTCGTTAGTCAGAAGTCGGAACTATATGTCGGTCCTTTTTCTTGCACCCAAAAAGGAAAAGGATCAACATATAGTTGCGACTTCTAACTAACAACTCATTGTAGGCCGGGCCTAATTGGTTGAATCATAGTCGGGAGTCCGAGTCAGTAGTCGAGTCAGAGTCGGGAGTCTGTAGTCTGATACGGGCTTTAGGCAACATCCATAACGGCGCTATCGCCGACAGCAAGATTTCTGTCCGTCTAGGACCAGGCTTGTCCGACAGTTTCCCCCATTTTAGCCCTCAACTACGCGGGCGGGGTACAAACGTACCCTACCGCACGCAATTATGCACATATTTCTCGCGTGGCAAGCGACGTTGCCGTA